TTCACATGCTGACGACGACGAACGAATTCTCTGGGTGCGGCCAGAGCAAGGTGCAGGCACAGATGGACGTCTATACCCTACAGTCTATACACTATGGCGCCACCCGCGTCTCGTCCCTCTACTGCATACCCCAAACTTGGTGATGGACAAACTGTACGGGGGTGCGGATTTAATGACGCCAGGCTTAGCCAATGGGCCACCCTTCCCTGCACGGGCGGTCAAGGGAGAGATAGTTGCGGTCGCGAGCTTGGCGAAGCCTAGTGTGCCGACGTTCGTGGGTGTATGCGAAATCGATGTGGCTGCGTTGGAGCAGGTTCGGGGGGTGAAGGGACATGCTGTTAGAGGGGTGACCTGGGAAGGGGATGAGCTGTGGAATTGGGGTTCTATAGGAAAACCCGGTCAGCAGTCGCCGGAGCATATTGATGGCTGGATGGGTGATGGTGATGCAGTGGAGAAGGGGTTGGAAGAATTGACGATGGAAGATGGGAAGGGTGAGGTTGATATCGAGGGCGAGGGCGAGGAAGAGGGCGGTGTCTCGCTGGATGCGGATGAAGTGAACGAAGACGACCCGATCCTAGAACAGCAATTACAGGAACCTACCACCAAAGGTATGATTTTCTTCCATGACTTTCTGCTATGGAATCCAGTCACGGAAATCTCTAATTGACATCCAGAAATCGATATGGCTTTTCACAACGCTTTCCTCTACTGCCTTTACCAACATAAAATGGACAACCCGTCCACACCTGACCATGGAATGTCATTTCCCATCCAAGCGTCCTTTTTGATATCCAATCTGATAACGCCATTCCTACCAATACACTCAGCACAACAATCGCAATTTTATAATATCAAAAAAACATCTTGGAAGAACGTGAAGAAATTCATCAAGCATCTTGACAAAGAAGGCTTGGTTAAGGCTAAAGACCGCAACGGCGGTGAGACAATAATCTTGGACGCCGATTTTGAGGCCGCCCAACTTGACGATTTTGTTCCATATGAGCTTCCCAAAAAGAATAGCTCGGACAAAGCTGCCAAATCCGTTTCGTTAGGAGGAGATGACAAAGATCTCGCTGTGGGCCAGTCATTCACCGTGAAAACGCTGTACCGACCAAGCGGGAAACTTACACCCACCTTATTTCCGCCGCTATCAAACAGGGATGTGAATAACTACTACACAAGCTCAGATGTTTCAAAACGCCTAAATGATTATCTCACTGCCCAAGACCCTCCCATCATATCCACCACAAATCCACGTATTATATCTCTAAATCCATTCATCAGTAACACCATCCTGTCCTCTTCGCCCAACGACCTCGCAATTCTCAAACGCGGCATCATCCAACGCGACGCGATCCTCCGACGCCTACTTGAGGACCCTTCGCTCTGCGCCCCTTATCACGCCATGCTAAAGCCCGGCCAGACTCTCCACGACGTAAAGCCAAAAGCAGGTCCCGGCCCCAAGGTTACCGTGACCATTGAGCGTCGCACAGGCTCAAAGGTAGTTACCAAGATAACGGGTTTAGAACCGTTCGGTGCCGCACCGCAGTTGTTGGCGGATGAGTTGCAGAAGAAATGTTCGAGTAGTACGAGCGTTTCACAGGCCGTGGGAGCGGCGAATGGAGTGATGAGCGTGTTGGTTCAGGGCGATCACCGTAAACTTGTTGAAGCAGCGCTGGCTAACCGGGGGGTGAAATCTCAATGGATAGACATTGTCGATAAGTCTCAGAAAAAGGGAGGGAAATGAGCGTGGCTTTATTTTTCCCGCTTCGAAAACTGATACGTATACCTTTGTCTGATGTACCAGGTGGGAGGATTCTAGCAGTTTGTCAAGATATATTGACTGTTAGTAACGAGCTCAACGAGGATGCATGCTCTTGATTTTGCGATATTTGTTTGAATAAACGGGGAGCTCCCTCCCTTGTGTCCGTAGAAACCTACAAAATAAGGTTTAATGTATCCACAAAGTGGGACGAACCCCTGTGGCTCGTTACACAGAGATGTGCTGCAGTACGGCGTTTTTCTCTGTATCGACTCCCCTGACGCCTCCAAGTCGGACCATTAAAGAAGGAAGATAATTGGTGCAGCGATGGACAGCCATTAAATTGTAAAATACATCATGACTGGTCGCTAATTCACGTGAGATCAGAAAATATAACGAAAGGTTCAGCAGCGATAATTCAACATTTTAATCGTACATCCATGGCTACAATAATTTCTATATAGACGGTATATTTATGCATAAAATGGTGCAGCAGCGTGTTTAGCCCCCCTGTTTTTATATTTATTCTTTGCCTCTTTTTTTTTTGCTTAGTATACATAACTATCTGTTCTCAATCTCAAGCGAAGCTCTCGAGTCCTTCCGACTTCATAATTTTTTGAAATGCCACACGGAGCGAATTCTTCTTCTCGTTCGTTCCGTGCCCGTGCAGTAATGTTGACCTTTTCTTTACCTAAGACTAAATCTCCTGTGCGATTATTAACAACTGCTATTCAGTGCGAAAATTGTCGGCTGAGAAAGGTGTGATATCTCTGTGTCTGCTACGCGTCTTAAGCCGGAATCATATAACATCGAGAAATTCTAGTCGATGGAGCCTACTAATGGAGCTGGTCTAACATCTTTGTCCAGATCAAATGTGATAAGGCCATTCCATGTTCCAGCTGCGGAACACTCGGGATCACTTGCCATGCCGCTTCTTCGAGGCTCACAGAGCGACCTCCTGTTGCTCCATCCAACCAGTACGTCAGCCATCCGACTACTTCTTCAAGTGGCTTGGGTATTAACCCAGCCAGTGAGAGAAACTTGGGGTTGATCGAAGACCGCCTTTCTGCGGTCGAAAAAAGTATTCATGAGTTGTCGCATCGTTCCGCCGCCACTGCTTCCGTGGCTTCGTTGGGCCATCATTCACCCTCTTTATCAACCCAGTCATCTCTGGAGATAGCGACTGCTGCATTTGAAGGGCAATCGTCCTTTGGTAGTGCGACTCTACTAGCCAAAAAGGTAGCGGATCTTTCCGTTGCAAGAGTCCCCGGGAGTAAACTCGACGAGAACGTCTATAGAGCCCTCCTGTCCCTAAACAGCAGCCTCGATAAGCATCACCCAGCTCCGCGTTCTTCTGAAACGACAGAAGTTGCAAACCCTGCAACATCCAATTTGAATCTACCTCCGGTGGCTTTCGTGATTTCTCTCATCAAGAGGATCAAAGGTTTGATAGAAGAATGGTTTCCGCCCAAGAGGATTTTGGTTGCGCTGACGTGACATTTAGAGCAACCTCCCTTCTTTCTTGTGCACAATTCTTGGAGAGACTACCTCCAGATCGAAAAACTATGTCAGAAAATTTACTTCCCTTCCGAACCCATCACAGCAGGCTCCATTACCCTTTTGCATGGTTTGCTCTACTTCATCATTCGGGACTATATTCACATTGGGGACACTTCACTTCCTCAACCCGATTGTGCCATATATGCAGACATGTGTGAGAAAAACTTTGTGCAGGGCTTGAAATCCTACGATATATTTGTCAGCCCAACCCTTGAAAAGGTCCAGGCGCTGCTAATTGGGGTAAGGGCTTCCATTCACTCCCTAGCTGGCCCCAGCTAATTTTTCGCTCGCCAAAAGGTGATTAAGTGTCAAGAAGAAACAAACCTTCCGCTGTGCTGGACCTATCTGTCAGTGGCATTTGATATGTGTCAAAGTATGGGATACCATAGCAATTCGGAATTGAAAAGTGATCCCTTCCCAGTTAGTGAGGAGAAGCGACATATTTTCTGGAGACTGTATATGGTTGACAAAAACCTCTCTCTTAACCTTGGCCGCACATCACATTTTCAAGACCATGATATCGATTGCGGAATTTTCATGCCGTCAACTGACCCTCATCAACACCCTTGGGATCTCATGACTCATGTGATCATCAAGTTTTCAGCTATCCAGGGTCGAGTATATGACAAACTATATTCCGTTTCGGCATCGCGCTCGCCACCGGAAGAAAAGATGCGTGTCATGGAACAGTTATCTACCGAGTTGATTGAAGTGCGGAATGAACTCCTTGAGGTATGCTAACTTACGTTAAATCGTCGGTCTTCTGTGTCTTCCTGCTGACAACAACGTTTATAGATCGATGTCAGCGGTGGCTATTATGCAGAGTCATTACAAGGAATAGCGGCTTGTGCTGAATTTATCACCTATTCAGTTTTGACTGTCATCTACCGTGCCCAGATGTCTCCGAACGCCATGGCTATAAGTTCCAAATGCCTGGAGGCAGCCAAACTAGGTTTACAGAGTCACTTGAAATGCTTTCCTTACTTCCGCGAACGCAAAAGCCACAAGAAAGCTGAATATGTAACCTGGTCAGCATTTCCATCTCAGAGTTTCCAGGTACACAAGATACTAAACTAACCTATCAATATATCCAGGATTCTTCTCTACCCTTCCTTCACACCATTCGTCATCCTCTTCACCCACGCAATTGCCACTGGAGACTTGGAGGAACTTGCCTTACTCCAGGAAACAGTCGGCTCGCTCGAACTGGTCAAGGATCTTTCCCGCGGCTCCCAACATCTCTACGAAATATGCAAAGCGTTTCTCACCATTGCCGATGCTTTGATCAATTCCCAACGAACCCTGAACGGCCTGGAACACCACGCCGATGGCTCACTTGTACTCCCTTTTATGGCTGATGGACAGACCCAGATTACCTTCCCAGATATCTCATGGACAGAAGATATGTACGATTTTAATATGGACAGTGCTGATATTTCTGGTTTCTTGAATGATTTCCTGGGAACGAACAGGCCCGGGACAGATATTCTCCGCCTAAACTTCAAGTAACCACTTAAGATTTGAAGGCTCCATGCCCCGCTCAAAAAGTGTGGCTGCAAGCAAACCCTGGGATGAAATCAAGCCCCACGGACTAGTATTAGACCAGGATGCAAAATCTACGATTTCAAGTGCATGAACATCCTAGAGAACCCTGGATTCAATTTCTGTGGACAACGATATATAGCTTCACGTCCGATGCATTAATATATTTTGCTATTTTCTTTTTGGGACCTTTCAAAGTCATCAATGGTATGTGTGCAGCTTTATATAGAATTCTTTAATTAACGTTTAATACAGAATATGAAATGAGCCAGGCAACCGAGGTCAAGAAGCAATCCTGAAATTGCTTTCGGTTCTCCTGTGCGTGGCTTCTCTATGGGAAAGTTAAGTGAATATCACGGGACACCATCACCCATATTCTTTTCAGGACACGGCAAAAAGCCATTCAGATGACATACTTTCCGTGGAATTAGCCTAGGGTAATGCACAACAGAGCTTTGGGTTACTTACCGGAATGAAAAGATATGGAACTCTGCGTTCATACTCTTCCCAAGCTGCACCATATTTTATCCGGCAGCGATGGATATCCCTTCGAGCCCGATGGATTATCATCACGGTAAAAAATACTGGATAGAACCAAGGGAAAGGCGATTTAAACCCGGTGATTAAGCCCCAGCAACCCGCAAAATAAAAGTCACATGTGTAATGCACCTTGCGCGCCAGTCCGACTGTTGACGAATTCGCGAGTGAGTTGAATCCGCTCGTGCAAAAAGGGTGGGGGAAGAGAGAAAGACACTTACACCATCCACTACACAAAATAGAATCTCCTGTTTCGGTGCGGATACATTCCGGGTTTTTGGCAACTTTCCAGGGGAGTTGTGGGAATGTTTTGCGATCCACCATGAAACCATGTTCCTGCGCCCGAAACATATTCTTCTGACTATTACTTGTATCCCACACCCAATAAGCAAAGATATACGAAACGTAAAGGAATGCCAACGCCCAAGGGCTCCAGTGATAAGTCGACGGATGGTTCCTATCCAGGTATAGGGTGCAGTGGCAGTATGTCATTGGTACACCGGCCATATTCCAGAAGATAAGGAGGAAGCCAAGTTTCTCATAGTACATGTCCCTGGCTGGATGTTAGCGGTCTGGCGGAGCTATAATTACATAGAAAACTGCGGGTGAAAGCATACCAGCTGGTGATGATGAGTTCTTCTGCCTTTGCGCATGCATTGGCGTAAAGGAAATGCGCCATGAGGAGGAAGCAGACCTCTCCAGAAACATAACCGAGCTGTTCAAACTGTCTAAAAGCTGCTCCCAGTGTAAAAAGGAAGAGCAAATACCACGGGATACGGACTTCGAGGAACATCTTGATATCCAACAATCCAAACATACGCGGATTAAGCTCCGCGCCCATAAAGAAGTCATAGATAGCGGACCCAGTCATGCGATGTTGTACACCTCTCGCAATGGCCGAGAAATACGCTACAAAGGAGCAGAGAAGCCCAGAGCAGATCGCCACGCTCATCAAGGGTCCGAATTCGTCGATGAGCGTATATAACTTAAAGACACCGGATACATGCAATCCCACAGCCACGGCAATTGTCACGTACCATGCGCATAGAGCTGAGCAGTAGTAGTCAAGCTGCTTGCCGCCCAAGTGGGCCAGCCGTTTTCCCTTGCCATATACGCCGGGGAGCAGAAGATAACCAGCGCCTTCGAGCACCATCATTGTCCAATATATTATCCAGGCTTTTCGATGCGGGAAAGCATGAGTGTATGCCAGATCCACTAGGTGCACGAGAAACTCTGAGAAGCTTTGGCCCTCTTCTCGAGTGGGAAATTTGCCGTCGTAAAACGTCGCCCCGATATACATGTAGTACATGATCAATGGAGATCCGATCATTATAACACACGCACCAAACACACCCCCGAACTCAAACTCGGCCTCATCATCCGTTGATGCTATTGCTGTTGTGTTTCCTGGGTGGATGGCATTGGATTCCTTTTTGCGCTGGCGGACCTCACTACATTGCCATTCAAAGTTAGGATGTGGTGCTTGATGTTTTGTCTACATCTGCGATGTGGAATTTCATTGTAAATAGGGAAATGGCTAGGTACGACAAAAAAAGGGGGGCTGTCGAGTGCATCGTCGCTTACCTCCTAGCCTCTTGTCCCGCCATACTTTGACTAGCCCGGCGAAATATACGCACAAGATCCGACTCTTCAGTTCAAATCTGCGTCAGAGATAAAAAGGAATTGGTTTCACACTTCAAGAGGCTCGGCAAATGCAATATATATATAGAGCTCGTGGTATTTATCTGGAAATTGCATCTATTGCTGGGCGACCGCGGACACCGTGGATGCCGTGGACCCCGTAGACTATACGGAGTAGAATGGTGTAGCCTCCAGTTGGTATATAATTCAACGATATTATGGCCCTCAGCAGGGGCTCATCCGCATGGCATGGAACACAGTCGCGCGAACTCCGCGGGTTCTTCTCGTGGGCTGGAGAGTCTGAAAAGTGAACGGTGTGTACCCCCCAGCCCGATTCGCTGGCGCCGATTGAAAATCCCTGTGTTCAGCAACAATAATAGTAATGAGTGACAGACCATTTTCAACCAAAACGGCAATTCACGCGGGAAGCACACACATATATCCTCCTCAGCAACGGGAGATCCATTGGTCTCCTCTGTGTTTTGGCGCAGAAAGCGGGGATCTCCTACCATTGTATGAAGCCTTGGCATCGAGGAGACTCAGAGATGCCAAAAACATTTCTGTGGCCCGGATCGTCGCGAAGGCTTGGGTATGACCAGATTTCGAACCGGACCAAGGTTTGATGAGTTTTGGGAGAGGGGAGAGGCTGCGATTTCTGCAGCTGCAAAATTCCTTTGCATCTTCGATGCAGAACACCTGTTCACAAAACAAGTTGAGGCGCGCTGCCTCCGCCATGCCATGAGGACATGAGATCGCGATAAAACAGAGAGAGAAAGAGGAAAGACAAAGGCGCCATGATGGTAGAGTAATCTTTGCATTTGTCCAGCGCGCTCATTTGCGTCAATTGCATCTTCCGCACCACGGATCAAACCATAACTCTGGGGACAAGCCACAAAGCGGCATCCCCACCATTTGCAAGGGATGGAATAACTTGGTCTCTAATCCGCAGAGGCGGCATACAATTGAAACACGATAATATATATTTCTAAATGCCGAGATGCATGCCCTCACGATCCCGTACGGAATAGCATCAGGGGGGAAAGTGTTTTGTACACCGCAGATGCCCCTTTAATAAGTATCCAGAATTTCAGGCAGCTGATAATGTGATCCATCTGAAGCCTGTGCGCCGCAATTCTCACAAACTGTACAGATTAAGCGAGACTCGGATTGGAAGAACTGGAAGATTGAAGGGTTTATATGGGCCAGCCATTGCGCGAAGAAGAATCAGTGGCATTGAAGCGGAGGGCTGTTCCATTGTTTAGCAGCGTTGAAATAGTGTCCTTCAGGACACTATTCGCTGATGGCTTGATGCCTCCGTTTTGAGCATCACAAAAGAGAAAGAGGGGAAGGAAGGGAAAAGAAAAAGCAACCATGGCGCAAAACTACTTCCTGCATCTTGAGTGCATAGCAAAAAGGTTGGATCAGAGGCTTGAGTCAGTCCTTGCAAGATGCGATAAATTTAAATGGAAATCTCAATACCAGAGTCCTCACGGTGGAAGTTATGGGGCCTGATGCCTAACCTGACAGCCAAACTTTAGGCCTCAAGCCTCTAAACCGACCCCAACTGTCTAGGGGGCTTGGCAGCTGATGTATCCGTATAAATTTCTAGTCTGCGCAAGGACATGTTTCAAGGCTTTTGAAGTCCCCATTGCTGAAAAAAGAATCGGTAGTTGCCATCGGGCTCTTCGTCTACTACGTAGAAGCGACTGCTACATGGTACAACATCATACGATCCCCCAGAGTGGACTATTTAAGTAGAGATACTGGTATGCATTTCTGAGTTAACTGCTCCGCTATTGGTGACTCTAGCGAATTTAATAATTTTCTATAACTACGCGGCGTAACTTATACATATCAGATAACTAGCTAAACGGTGCAGAAGGTGGCCCTAGGGAGGTTTTAAAGAAGTTTAGAATTGGACCCTGTTTAGCAGCGCTTTAAGTCCAACACACTTTCATTCCTTGGAATCTTGGCTGGTCCATGCCTAGCATGTCGAGGTGAACGAGAAAATAGACAGCGAACTAGGTATAATAACCTAGGTAGCAATAATCTATGAATGCTGTGGTATTTTCTTGCGCATGGTACATACCTTGGGAGCTGGATTCCCAACCGAGATTAGCTCATTTTTTCGGCTGTCCTCAGTCCCGTTCTGACACAGTCGCTGGGGGCAGGCTCTGTGTTGAATCAGCTCTATTGAATTGTGCTCAGTCCTGCAGGGTTACATTTGATCGTGGTCTACGACGTTCAAACCACAAGCACCCATGCGAATATACAAATCACGTCATACGACGGCATCGTAGCTATAGCTATTCTGCTCATAAACCACATATACCCGAGGGGGACTCAGTTCAAACTCAGGAACAGATTAAAGTTAGAAGTTAGAAAAGTTAGCTGGATAGAAAGAATGAGGAGAGAGAATCTGAGAAACCCCAGAGCTGTCCTCGATTTGGAAAAGGTTATTCTCCTCTACCTTCTCACAGGGCTCAATTATTCGAGTCTACTCATCGACCCTGTTGATATCTAGAATCCTGAAATAACTGGCAGACAAAGTAGGTAACAATTTTGTTGCGGGGATTAACCCATGATAACAAATACTATCTCCCCGCCCGGTACTCGATACACAGGAGTTTATTTCTGGGCTTCCTTTCTCAGCATTTTGCAAACGCCTAAACGCGATGCAGCATACGGGCATGCTTAATTGGACACGGGATTAAAATTGTGGAACATGGTTTTGATAGTTAAATGCTGTTTAGCTACTTACCATGCCCCAGGAATTAGTAATACATTCCCCGGGATAGGGTGCATTCCAAATCATCAACGACGGCGCTATCTGAGATGGAACCGCGATTTTTGCAACATGGTTCACTGTAACCCCAATAATGATGATGAAAACGGGCGCACAGCACGGAAGGACTCCGACGATATTCGGAATCAGTCCCAAATGGAATCATCGTCTCCGATTCGGCAGAGCCCTACTCGGCCCACTGAATTTCGATGATTAGCTTCCCGTGGCTTGGCGGCCGCTGCGCTAGCTCCAACAGCTTTTCGGCTTCATCATGACACAGCACGTCATCGTAAACCAACAAACTTTTGCAACATGCGTTTGTCTTGCGACGGCCCTAAATCCAGGGACCTGTAAATTCTCGAGAGGATATCCGCGCACAAGGTAGATTTTTGAAGTGGTGGTTTTAAAACGGGTTGAACATGCTTTTCAGGGTGAGCGAACTTTCATCGTGCGCAGCCATTTTAAACCATATATATGCAAGCAAGCTTACAGTTGCAGCAGTGACGCGAATATTTTGAGCTCCAAAATCGAGATGACCGCATCCATGGATAAGAGTGATATATATATATATATATATATATATATATAAAGAAGTAAAAGAAGGCCCCGCTGGAAGAACCGTGGTTACGCTGGCAGCAACATGCCGAACTCCTTGCTCCGAACTGATTCGGCGTTGAATGCCTTCGCCCTGAACCTCTACCTCTTGAAACTGAAGGGGGAAAGCCCCCTACCTTATCAAGTTACTCGCTAGGAAACGAATATGGACCACATGGCTCCCGAAAATGGAACCCAACCTTAAACCGAATGCCTTGGTTTAATTGCCAAAGATTGACCGAGGTTGGGTACGTTTCAATCCAGGCCACGCTCCCCACCTCCCAAAAGAGACCCAATTTCCAGAATTGGACGCGGCAAACCGGAAACAATCCACAAGTCAGCTATATCTGGACATCGATGATGATAAAATGTAATAAATTTTCCCAGATAAACATTAACTGACCCCAAAGAAGCTTGGTATCACTTCTGCATCGGAACGAGAGGAAGGTCCTCAAGAAAATTCACCCCCATATTCTGTACGGAAGCAAACGAACCCATCAGATAATTTCCAATCATCGCAAACCCAGCTAGGCTCCGGGATGGTAGGTCTTCTGCTTGCCACATACCTTCAATATCCAGCTCGGTCTGTGACGGATAAACACTGCACTGTTGTCATTCGGTTGATTTTTCTTCCTTAATAATCAATACGATGTATGATTTCCTTTTCTCTTAGGCCCCTGCTCAATGACTCCAGATTTATTCTGTCCTCACCCGCCAGCTTGGGCAGAGTGGAGAAAAACAAAAAACAGCGCAGCGGTGCGGTTACATACGTTCACTGTGTATACGGACAAACACCTATACAAACACCTATACCGGGGAGAACAGATCAAGTTCTGGGCCGGAAGTTCTTTATGTGGCAATTGATTTCAGAGGATCTTAAAAGAGTAATTGCTGGGAGGAGTTTGAGAGATTTCAAAAGAGCAATGAGGAAAATCCGCATCCGCACCTCGAAAACAAGATCTAACTTAAATCATACACTTTCCAGTACCTAGGCAACTTCAGCAAAGGTTCGTTCGCATCGAGGATCATTGCCTGTGCGAGGTCAACGAAGTTCGTTTAACTTTTAACAAACTTAGGCGCAACTGCACCATACACTGGTTGTGCAGCCTGCCAAAAGAAAAGATCCACGGATTCACGTACCTTCGATTGTATCTACCACCCATGTCCCATACACACGGGAAAATCCTAAATAAAAATACTCAGCACACATCACAAAACATTACCACATCAATCCCAGCCCAAAATACCCTTTTGACCAAGCAAACATTAACCCCTTAAAAAACTTTTTGCCCGGCCAAATCACCTGGCAGTGATTAATTTGCGCAGGATCTATGCAGATAAAAGCCATCTCGCCCCCTCTCCCCCCACTGATCTGAAAGTTTTTCCTTCCGAAATTTTACCGAAATCAACTTACCAGTGGCGGGCATCCATGGATGCATGTAAGAGGTATACAGAAGGTATACCGTGGAAGTTCAAAGGTACTGAGGCCCGCGTGCGCATGAGCAAGCATTCATCTGTAATTCGACCGCGTCATGTAGATTGAGGTGTAGTATATATCTACATCCCCGGCCGTGGTTAAAATGACTGAGGGGAACGAATCGAATATATTCAAATAGTCATGCTATGCAAACAACACAGCTTGTTCGCCGGGGACGGAAGGCTTTTCCGCCACAGAAGGTCGAGATTCAAACACCACCAAACGACCCGTCAAGTATGTTAACGTGTAATGAAACCTGATACCAAAGTACGAGATGTTCCCAAACCCGATCCAACGGAAAAGGGAACAGGCAAATTCGCCTTCTGCCAGTGCTGACGTAGCTGGCCGGGGCGCAGTACCATGATCCGGAGTACATCCGTAGATTGATATATAGTTTCGAGGTCCAGCTGCGGGCCACAAAATCCAATTAACATCCCATGGATATAAACAAACGAACAACGAAAATCCCCAGCCAAGGCCAACTTGTTTGGTGAATTAAAAGACTCCTCGGGCTGAACCTGGAAGTTTCAATTTCCCCTGGCATCTTCAAAAATTTTTAGTTTCAAGTCCTTGGGCATTGAGCGTGGTACTGGTAATGTTAGGGTTTTCATCTGTCCTTTTCCACTCCCGCCTGCCCGCCCCATAAACCGCTCAATTGTTGATGGAATAAACCAGCGATGATATATGAAGATCTTTGGAATCCCTAGATTCAAGCTTGATATTCTTAGTTCTTATATAATCCTTTGTCTTTCTTTAAAAATTAAAAATTGAAATTGAAATATAACTAAAATAACGATAAATAAACGGGTCAAGATATAAATGCATAAAAAAAACAGAACTAGAAGCAAATCTTATTTACGTTGAACTTGTTCAAATTACAAGCATTCATTCCATGGCTTGAAATGGTCTGAAGCCTGTAGGTTTTGTACCTGAGGCATGTCGACAAACGGAGTGACTCCTGACTTTGATGATGATTATATCGTTTCCCGGCAGCCTGATGAGGCTTGCTCGTTGATCGTTTGTGCGTAGATGAACCCCCTCGCCTCTAGATTTTTAAACAATCTAGACGTTTTAGACGGTTGAGAATGGCGTGGAGCGGTCCTGGTGGGGCAAAGTGGAGGAGTGCGCTATTTTGGCGGAGAAAGACCAACTTTCAACGGTTTCTTCCCCTTGACGAAGTGGTTTGCTTCTTGGGGTCTTGAGTGGCGAGATGTGGGAGGCTTTCTTCCTTGCGCTTTTTCTGTGGGCCCGCTGATTTTGTTTTTGATAATAAATAGGAGTCGAGTTGAGATCATGGTTATTGGGAGGGCAGGGGGTAAATTGGATATATAGTGAGTGAGCAGATCAGTAGAGCCTTCAAGGGCGTTGATGACATCACCAACAGAACCGAAGGATCTTTACTTGAACAAATTCCATAAGTTTTATGTGTGACTTGGGCTGAAAGCCCCTTTGTCATTTTCATCCAAAGCGAGCAACCTCTGCACTTATGGAGTCAAAGTTGGCCCCTTCTCCTTTTTTCTGAAAAAAAGATTGAGGACTGAGAAGAAGGCTACTTGATTGAAGAGATTGGTTTCAATCAGCTATCCTGGCAGTAAACCAACTCTATCAATGATATTCATGAAATGATATCCAGGAGGATCATTAGGGAGTTTAAAAAGAGAGAGAAAAAGAGAGTGCGTAGGAACGACACTCTCCATACCGGCCAACACCAAACACCAAAAAAGTTTTGATAGGAGAACCCAATATATGCACCATACCTGCAGACAGAGGCTCATGCCCCTGGCCTCAAGCTTGCAGCAGACAGGCACGACAAGAGCAGGGTGCAGGGTGCATGGCGCAGGGCGCGCTGAGGTCACCCTTCGAACTCCGCAGGATGGCGGGAGAAGATAAGACAGTAAATTTCCGCAAAGTCGCCCCTCACCTCCCCTCCCCTCTCTCCCCCTCCCTCCCCTCCCCTTGGCACCGAGTGAATGATAAGGAAAGAACATACTGCTTTTTCACTACGGGGTACAGGATGGGACATATTGAGTAATGCTATCCCCTTGAGAGTGCTGGCCGTTCGTTGACCAAGCACCGTAAATCGACGGTCAATTTGTCCCGGGTCTTTGGTGATTGAACAAGCCAGTGAAGCCACCCACTGCAGAAAGGATTGAAGATTAGAATACAGTTGTAGCACGCTACGTAAATACATGTGATAACCATAAGGATAAGAACGAGTTACTAGTTAATGGTGATAAGATACGGTCATAGGAGACCCTGCGGAAGGAAAGATCGGGAATGATTGGGAAACCTGAAACTTAAATAATATATGGATGGGAGCAGAACATGTCAAGGAACTAAAAAAGCAAAACAACGAAAAAGAACAAAGGAGGGAAAATTCCTTCCGCGAGAGAAAGAAGCAGGAGGGAGGACCTAAAAATAAACCGAACATTGCTGTTGATGTGTGGCTGTCTCTCCTTTTCTTCTTTGATTGACAGACACAGATCTCAGAAAGTTGAACTCCGTCGTGTCTCCTCCGTCCTCTGAATGGGAACTCCAAGCTACGGCGTCAGGGCTAGGCACTCTCCCCGCCCACTACTTCTTTCTCGCTTCCTACAAGCCGGGATCCCCGGCCGAAACGAGGGGATAAACCCTGTTGGCTTGCTAACAGTGCCCAGTTAACGGCTGGCTGGCAAATCACCACGGGTTGGGTTAGCAAGAGGGCTTAAGTGCGTATTATTGCTACGTATTGCTGCGTATTGAGCAAGGGGAGCTGGTTGAGGGGGCTGGTGGGAGGAGAAGCATGTGAGGGGAGCCTGGAGACTGTGACTGGCTAGGGATGCTGCAAAGTTTGTAAGCCTGTGTCGTTGATTAGCAGCACGCCATGCCGCGATGAGTCTTCGACTGGACACAGCAGATTTTTCGAGCTCGTAGGTGGCTTGAGTGCTGGGTTGCCAGGCTCTGCTCGGCTGGTGGATGATACAACACTATGAGTCGTCATGACCCGCACTGGGGCTCGCTTGAATTTTGAGCCGGCGCTAGTAGCGCCAGGATGCGGGCGAGGACGAATCAGGAGGGCAGAAGTGCGGGATGGTGGACACTTTGAAGAGACCGGCTGGGCGGGTGGTGTGTTCCGGCAGACAGTTTAGTGTCGAAGGAGCGGATGGGAGACTTTTGACAACGGCTCAACTGGGAGATCGAGTTGCTGAGTTACTGCTGGATGCGAGTTCATTTTTGCGCTTGGTATCTCACTACTCCTGTTCTCAAACAGCCCGAGCATTAATTAGTTAGTTGGCACATCAAACATCAGAGCCTTTGAAAGCACTCAAATCTTGGAGTTTTCAACATTGGTTCCGTTGAATCGCAAGGGGATTTATTTATTTCCTCTGGCGTGGAATTCATTTTTGGGTTTTCTTCAATTTTCCGGTTTTTTTTCTTTCTTTCCTTTTTCCATCTTTTTGCGTCTCTGGCCAATAATCACAAAGCAACCAGAGTATGGAACGCATCCATCGCTTTTGTTCGGGCTTTGAATGACGCCTGTCAAGTTGCCCGAACAAGTCCTGGACAGGCTGGGAGATATGGAGGGACTGAGAAGGTATTGTTCCAAGGGAGAGAAAAGCCAGAATCCGAGTCCCTTTTTTTCATTTGTTTGTAGTAAATTTCTCACCTTAACATCGTAAAGAAAATATTACACGTAGCAAAGTGCGCTCAAGGATTCGGCGACCAGCGGGACAGAAAGGGCATAGTGAACACCGACAAGGACACCTCCGGCTGCTAATGCTGAGCTGGTTGGGGGTGTTGGTTGGGTTTCGGCGCTGCACGGTGGGTTGAAAGGAACTGAGTTGACCGTAGCATCGACCCCGTTTGAAAGGGAGTGAGTGAGTGAGTGAGTTACAACGCAGGACACAGGACACAGAACGCAGCAGCACGAATTGGAAGTCAACAATCAACAGCGCATCTTGAAATTGTCAGCTATCTCGTCCGATCTTGTCTGGCCCTCCCCAACAGGCCCTGACCCTAACCCTAACCCCCATCCGGCCCAGCAGTGGAAGCCAGGCTCGCTTTTCCAAACCCAGATTCGACACTTGATGCGACCATGCTCGGCTGGCCTGTGTCACGACATCTTGGACCCGGGACCCTGGGACGAGCACAGGAAGTGTGGCCCCGAGCAGCCGAACCCAGGATCCCAGGAGTCAGCCTGCTGGAAGGCCACTGGCCACTGGCCAGATATCTTGGAAACGTGGTTGATGGGAGAGGACGTCTCACATTTTCGACCTGTCTGTAATTTATTTTATGCTTTTCCCCGTACCCGGTTGATACGCAGTCTGCTTCAGTCCTCCAGTCCTCCAGTCCTCCACCTCCTTGTCATGGGCGATATATATGGAACGGATGATAGCAACAAACAACAACTGCTGCTTGCTGCTCCTGCTGCTACTCCAACGTCAATAACGGCAGGTTTGAAAGAGAACAAGATCCGACTCGCTATTTTGGGATACCCTGTTTGAGGAATCATTATTGTTTCCAAATATCAGCTTCCAATCCACACCCCACCCCCCGGGGCGCGCGGGCCCATCCGCTCATGGTCTCCTCTCATCTCCCGTGCAGAGTAAAGTTATACTAGGTGTATTCCATCTGTACGGCGCAAGATTTGGAGGCAAATCGCAGAAATTATAATGCCCAGCCCTCCAGCTTCTCCAATTGTCGTCGCCATCCCCACCACGGCTCTCGCTCCGCCGTCTGCGCTAGGGGGTTGCTAGCTCTGGGCCTCTGGCTTGAGAGGCTGATCCCCGAGAACTTTCATGTAAACTTGTAAAACTTACCGCCGGCGCTTTGACTAGTGAGGTGAGTTCGCCCTCACTGGTTGTTCGCCCGTTCGCTGTTCTTGTTGCAGGGGACCCCTTCGCCTCCTTCTGCCCTTAAGTCCTGTCTCGTTCTCGTTTCTTTGTCTTGCTGTTGTTGATGTTGCAACTTCATCTCATCGGATAATCTATCTCGTGAAAGCCCAACACCGGCCATACAGCAACTAATTACGACCGACTCCTCCTCCCACGACTGTCCAGTATATCATTGCATTCTACAACAAGCAGCCATAATCATCGCCCTCAGCTGTGTTGCGCGCTGATGCAAATGGCCCTCTGATTGCATCTGGAAAGTTACTTTTCAGCAAGACCATGTCCGAGAATTAACGATATCGACAAAATCTACTCCATCCTCTTCTCCCGTTCGTTCACCCTTCTCTTCTTTCTGTGCTTGGGCTCCCCAAGTTCACACCTTGCGTCTTTCCCCATGCGCTGTTTCTATCGCTCCTGATCCTCTCCTTGTTCCCGAAACTGGCATCGGCATCTGTGACGCTCAGGTCCAGTTCTCTCTCTGCCAGTTGATCGCGCATTGGAACAGTCGATTATTTTGTTGTTTGTTGAACTCTCCTCCATTTCTCTAGTGTATGTGGTGTGTCGTGGTTGATATCCTTTCCCTGTGTTTCGAAACCCGAGTTCTTGGGTTTGGGATACCATACTATCGGATCTACATTGTTTTTGTCGATAACGCCCCTTGATTGATTTTTTTTATTTTTGATTGTTGTTGTCTAACATACAAAGGGCATTGTTTGCGTACACAGTCCGTGACCTGACCAGGTTCTACATATCTAGTGCATTGTTACTTAGCAACTCCTGATCATTGCCCGTCATGGCTACAAAAGCGTCGTCAATCCTGCACCCTCCCAATGAGACTGAGCATACCATGTCTCGCATCACCCAGGAGGGTAAAAAACTCACCTACAACCTGAAAGTCATCCAGCAGCCTGAGCGCGCCAGAGCATGTGGTGCTGGAGCAAAATGTGAGTTGTGGTCAAACATATGCATGCAATGGTGATTCCAATGCTCACGTTCTAAATCTCAGCCTCTGCGGACCGTCGGCCTGTTGACCCACCTCCTGTGGTCGAATTACGTGTGTTCGAATCAGATCTAAATGATCAGCACAAAACGGATATCACCTTCAGCTACAACGCCAACTTTTTCTTGTTTGCAACTCTGGAGTGGGCGCGCCCAATTGCCCATGGCAGGGTCCAGACTCAGACCCCCTCATGTCCTGTCCTGACAGGTGTGCCCGTCGCTGGCATTGCGTATCTGGATCGACCAACACAGGCAGGATATTTCATCTTTCCTGATCTTTCTGTCCGCCACGAGGGCTTGTACCGGTTAAACTTCAACTTGTATGAGGAAATGAAGGAGCCCAAGCATGCCGATAAAGGTGGACTAGTACCGCACTCGCAGAACCACATGGCACCGTTGACACCGTCAAAGCCCCGTTCACCACATCAGTTCCTCCATTTCCGCTTGGTTGTCAAGTCCGTCCCATTCACCGTTTACAGCGCGAAGAAGTTCCCAGGCTTGGCCGAGAGTACCTCGTTGAGCCGCATCGTAGCAGAACAAGGTTGCCGTGTCCGGATCCGCCGCGATGTTCGTATGCGTCGTCGCGAGCCCAAGCCCAACAAGGACTACGGTGCCTACGACGACAGACGTATAACCCCGGATCCTTATCCCGGTACTCCGATCGAACGTCCACGCTCAGCGAGCAATGCGTCCATGGATGACCCTTACAGATACCCTACAGGACCACCACAGGTCCAGCCGAGCCCGGACTACGGCTACCATCATCCATCCCATCAGCAACCCTCTCCCAATCTTGCCGCAACTCCACAGTCACATCTGTCCTTCGGCGCTGCTCCTCCACAATATCACGCCCCTCCACCACCACCGACTGCACACCCGGCTCCGCCACCTGCCTACACTTCGCCACATCTTGGATATACACATACCCGACAAATATCTGCAGGTCCGGAGTACGACCCTCACAGACAAAAGTATACTCAGTACCCTCCTCCCAGTCCTCACTCTGACATATACGACCAATCGAAGTCCTCTTTGCCCATGAACCCATCAGTCGATCATCCCTCTTACCCGCCAATGCCCTATGAACAGCGCATGTCAGATCCAAAACTGTACGCTCCACCATCTCAGCTCCACCCGACCCAACAATATCAACAACCCACACCCCCGCCCCCACCTCCAGCAGCAATAGCACCCCATCCTCCTCACCAGAGAACTCCCACAAAACCAAGTCCATCTACATTCTTCCCCCCAACCCCCTCCCGCCTCTCCGTCGAAGTCGACTCCTCCAACGAAGCCGACGACGCCATCCTGAACGCCATTCGTACGCGCCGTGGCTATATCCTCGATGAGAAGCCTGGTGCGACCAAACGCAGCCGCGATTCCTCGGACCACGACCTCAAGCCGCTCCGCAACGGCCAGCGGCCCGTCGTCTCCGGTGATGAAGCGGCCAAAGGTGAGATTGGCGAGACGTCTGGCGGCTCTGACGATGAGATCATGACGTATCGCCGGGCTGATGGGCGTTTGGTGGCGAAGCAGCGGGTGTCGGTGCATTCGAAGGGGAAGGAGGTCAATATTCCGCGCGATGTGGATTTGTTACCCAGGCGGCCGGAGGTGTGTGCTGTTGCTGAGTAGGAGGGTTGAGATTGGATTTTTTGGTTTGAAAGGTTGGAAAGGGGGAAAGGGGAGTTTTCCTTTGGCTTCATGGGATGCCAGCGCGCCGAAACAAGAAAAAAAAGGCAGGAGAACTTGGTTACATATGGGCAAGGGTGTTGTGGAATGTTGGGACCGTAATGCTCCCCGGGCCGCCCCCCTTTTTTTAGGCACCCGGGGCACCTGCTTGCCTCCTACGAGCCGTCATTCATTGTTGTCGGTGGTACAATCTGATTCTTCGGCTTCGGCTCCGCGCCCACCTTCAATGAACCGGGCTTCTCAAACCCATTACTATATATATCCTCTCTGCCAAACCCACCGTTATATCTCTCATCACGGCTTTTTTTTTGGCTCGGTATTAGTATGTTTTATCGATCTATGGAGCTGAGTTTCCAGCAAAACAGATTGGTCGATCACTCAACCCTTTCCACCCACGAAATCAATCCCAGCTTGGCTCTGCGTGTCTTTTGTCGCTTCTTTAACAAGTTCATTTCATACCCCCAAACAACTAACAGCTTCCTCCATATTTCGGTCTACAATTTCCTTTTCTGTACCTACCATATACTCCCGACTTCAACACCTCTTTCCTTTCCCCCTTTCTTTTCGATGTATTTTTCTTTTCTTCCTTTCCCTCGTCTGTCTTAATCTTTCTTTCATTATCCCCCCCTTTTTTTGTTATTTCCTACTATCAGCGTTGTCGACCCTTTTTCTTTTGTTTCTTCCGCCTTACCTTAGTTTTTATCCCCCCCCACCCCCTTGCTCGCTTGTAGTGGACAGCATTCTATCGCTCTTACACACGTCAACATTTATATCTACTAGCAGATGTACACAATCCTAGGACCCCAAACACAACACGCCCAACACATAATGACTAGCAATTTAGCTATGTTTCGAAGTTGCATTTTCAGAGTCTATATATATGTATCAGGGAAGGAGTGGAAAAGAAGTCAGAAAGGAAACGAAGAGCAAAAACAGGAGGGAGCAGGCCATGTACCGCAAAACGCACTACCATTGTTATCATGTCCCATTTATTCTAATGTATTGCCAAGATATGGTAGCCGTGGACAGGCAGAGGATTCGATTTTTTTTTACGCAGTTCACACACATGTAAGTAAAGTGGTGGCCTTTTTGATTTTGGTTGAGTCGAGAAGTGAAAGAAAGAAAAGTCCCAGACAGTAAGGGACGGAAAGGGGAAAGGGGAAAGGGAGCGGGCGGCAGGTATATTGTGTTTTCTTTTATCTTTTATCTTTCTTGTCTCATCCATAATCTTCATGGTGTTGTCAATTTCGTTCTTCGCGTCCTCCCTGCAAATCGCAGATGTAAATGCTCACATATCGCCATTTTTATGTTTATTTTTTTCATTTTTCCTTCCCGTGTTCCTTTCACCAGGTTTGTTAGTTTTTTACCTGACCCTGGATATTTTTTGCTTGTTTGTTTGTCAAATCATATCGTGTTTTTCCTCTTTCTTGTGTCTCACATTGTCAGTTTGCCAGTCTCTTCCCGCTCCTATCTTACCCCCCCCGGCACATATAGTTGCATACGATCACTATCTTTTATATCTAAGTTACATCTAACTATTATTATTCACCCCAAATGTTCGTTATCGTCATCCTCGCCTGTTCCATATTGTTATTGTGAGCACTTCATCTTCCAATCCTCAAACCAGCCAACCAGCCAACGCATGCGTTTCTGTCTATGGCACAGAGGGCTCAAATTGTTATTGTAGTGGACCAGACAGAATGAGGCAGGAAACATATAAGACGAGAACAGAACAGAACAGAACAGAGAGGAGAGGAGAGGAGAGGAGGGGGGAAATTTAGGATGGTGATATTTCTTTATACTCTTTTTTAGCTATAACATATGTTATCATTACAGTGAAACGAGATTGAAATTTTGATGTATACTTTTGTATATTCACAATGTTTTGGTTTTAGGGGATTTTTTTTTTTTTTCACGCCAAATTT